AACTCCTTAACCCAGGAGGAGGAGCCAGTTCTCCTCAGTACCCATTTCCCCAGCCGTGGTTCTCAGCCGACTCTCATCCCCTCGGGATCCCTGAGGCAGCCTGCACTGCCTTCCTCTGTTTCCCATAAATTGCTTTTTGGAGCTGCAAAGATGACTCCTTTCTACATGACTCAACCTGTAGATTCTTATGTCAACTCAATCCTTTTTATTGATTTCTTTTTTTTTTTCCCTCCCTGTGGCAAGATGGGGACAGTGTGTGTGTTTGATCAGGTTTTTCCATTAGCAGCAAAGAATGCACAAATCCCTAGACCCAGGAAAGTCACCTTACGGATCTTAGTTGTGTAACACAAACTTTCTTTTCTTTTTGAAGGATTTCTAAGCTGTAGTTTTCTGTACGTATCCGAGCATTGCTGAAGATGTTCTCACCTTCAATTATCAGTCAAGCAACAAACTAATTTGCCTGGTAATCGGCTCCAAAAGCAGCCAGCGCTTCAATTTCCACTTTCAGTCTTGGCAAAATTGAAAAACACAGCATCTGTCATTTACAGGTTTCTTACTGGTCTAGATATAGACAGAATAAACAAAAGAACCTTTTGAGGTCAGGTTGTGAAGTGCAACAATAAATAAGGAAACATAGAGTAGAATGTAAAACTTATGCTAACTGCATTTCAAGAGCAACATGGAGGCTGCTAAAAGAATTCACCTTTATCTTTTAGCAAAACAGAGGCTTATAATAAGCACTGGAGTCACACAAGATTTTATTTAGTTTTTCATCTGCTCTTTTATCTTACATAAGACCCTGTCATAAACAGTTTTGGTTTTCCTTTTTCTTTTGCAAGTGGCATGATCAGAATTCTCTTTAATAACTAAACCAAAAGTTTTAATGCATTTTATTGGAAGCTGTGTAAGGTTTTCTGAAAACGTTAGCATTTTTCTAAAGTAAAGTAAGGAAAGACTGGATAAACAACTGTTTTCATAAATTAGGCATTTTCAAATAGGTTGAACCTACAAGTATGCACTGTAGAGGAAACATGAAGAACTAGTTTAAATCTTACCATTTAAATTTGAGGACTGTTGAATGATGACTGCAACTCTACAGGAAGTTGTGATGTCCTTTCACAACCTGCTTTTAGAGAGAACTGTATAGTTATTAGCTTAACTTAATGCCTAGAAAGGTACTGGAACAAATAACTTATAAAATATCCAGAGAATGATGAGTAGCAGGGATTTCTGGGGAGGAATTTGCATCACATGAACAAGTCTGTGGGAGAGTAACAATGCCCAGCACAGATCTGTAGACCCAGCAAACCCATGGGTATCAGTTGTGTAACAGGAACTGTCTTTTCTGTTTGAACAATCTCTAGTCCAAGTAGAAATTAGCAGTGGTTCAGTATCAAGCCAAAAAGATGTATTGACTCTAAGGTTTACAATGATTCTGTTAAAATTCACTGTTTTCATTAACTATTCTGGCAATAGACTGCTGAGTGTGTTTATTGAGGTTTGCCAATGCGAGAAGTGCCATTTACACTTGTCAGAATCCAGAATGGCCCTTGAAACCTGAAAGAAAAAGAAGCCTAAAATTCACTAAGGGCAGGGACATTTGGCCACCATAAGTTGTGGGGAAAAGTATTTAATTTTTTTCCCCCCAGATGATGTTGTTGTGGTTTAACCTAGCAAACAGCTAAAGACCATGCAATTGCTCACTCACTTTCCCCCTCAGCGGTGGAGTTGGGCTGAGAATCGGAGGGAAAAAGGTCAGAGCACTCATGGTTAAGATAAAAACAATTTAATGATTAAAATAAACCAAATTAAAATACTATAATAATAACACTAATGAATTGTAATAAAAATAGGAACAGTTATAATAAAGCAATCACATTTATACTTGGCTCACACAGCAGATGCTGGCCATGCACCAGCAAAAGCACAAGGGTCAGTGATGGGGAAGTTAAGCCTCAGGAATTGAATGATGGTCTAGACCTGTCAGAGGTGGCAGTCATTGAGAAAAGAGGACTGTCTCTAGTGAACTCCTCCATTTATAGTAAGATTGATGTCTATGGTATAGCACACTTTCTGTTGGCCAGCTTGGATCATCTGTCCCAGAAAGCCCTGGGCTTTTGTGCACCCTCAGCTCTTGTGCGGAGGAAAAGGAAAAAAAAAACCTAGCGATTGGGACCACAGATGCAGGCAAAAAAATGAAAACCAGTGAGGCCTTGAGTTAATGTAAGCATTGCTTGGTTGCTTGGCAACAACCAAAACATCAGTGTGTTATCACACCATTCACAGATCCGAAACAAAGTCTCATACCAGCTCCTATGAGGAAAAATGACTCAAACCCAGCTAGAAGTAAAACAAAGTGTCTTACCAAGTTGTTTTCAGAAAATCAAACACTGCAGTCTTTTCAGAAATGCAGCTCTGGTGAATGGAAAATTGATTCTGTGATTCTCTCCCAGCAAAACTAGGACAGATGTAAAGTTACGTGGGATGTCTAATAAGCATGAAGGAGCCTTTCCATTCTACAAAACAATGATGAGGCTTGTATTGGATCATTGTGGTGAGTCTCAGGTACTGTACTTAAAGAAAGATGTGAACCAGTTGAAAAGAATCAAGAGAGAACCATGAAAAATTCTTTAGAAATCTAGAAAGCACAAGGGAACAGGAAACATTGAAAGGACTGGGTTTATGCAGCCTAAAGAAGGTAAGATTAAGGCGTGACGGGTATTAGGAATTGTAAAATGCTGATGCAGGAAAGAAATATTGTAGTGAGGAAGTGGCAATCTTGAATTTCAGAGAGGGGAAATTTAGACCAGGTGCAAGGAAAAGGTTTTGCATAATAAGAATAGAGAAGTACTGAAACATGACTTACGGGGTTTGTGGAAACTCCATTACTAAAGGATTTTAAAAATAGATGAGAAAGACTGTGTGAAATAGCTAACCTAGAACTGATCCTGCCTATAACCATAGGATGGACTAGCTGGATGATCCCTCCCAGCTCTGTTTTCTATTACCTTTCTTTTTTAATCAAGTGCGCATCCCAAGGCTCCAATTACATGCATTTTCACACTTTCCCCTCATATTTAGCTTTTAGGAGGAAGCAATCACTCTCCCATGTTAATGAATAGACTTTCTACGAGTTTTACCAAGGCATCCTTGGAAGAGTCCAGCTACTAGATTCTTATGCAAGACAAGCATTAGTTTTTATGGATGTTTGTTAAAAATTGGAGGACCATTAACCAAAATTAATGTTACTGAACAGTGTGTAGTCATTTGATTGTATTCAAGTAAAACTCTCATTTAGAAAAGTATTCTGGCTTTCATATTCTTTTAATTAAAATATTTGCAGCAGGGTCTAATATTTTTGGACTCTCTGAACCTCAGTAGGGAAAAAGTAGTGCTACCATCTGGATTTCTTTCCCCATTTTGATCCCCAGTAGGGTCCAGTAAGTAGCAGTCGGTTTTATTATTTATTATGCATTATTCATTGTGGCATCTCTTTTTATGACTCTGAAGTGTTTTGTATGCTATTGCAGAAGGTAGAGCCCTATTGTCTGTCAATGTACATGTTTCTTGGATTTCTCATTTTATTTGCAAAAATAATAAAAATTCTGAATCTTACAGTTCTTGGTCAAAAAGTTCCATTATCTTCTTCTGGAACATGGTCGTATATGAAGAAAAAGCATACCAAGCACAGCTATTCTATTATTATTTAAATTATTCCTCTGTATTACTGGTTTTGAATATTTATTAGTTTTTTGATAACCTCTTTCATTATTCATAAAGGGTAGCCATGCAGTTTGATGAAAAAAGCAGCACAATGAAACCTTATTTTGCATAGCTGGTGTCTTTCATATAAACTGTTCTCCGGTGCTTTTTTTTGTTTGTTTTAATGAAGGCCTGCAAGGTGCTGGGAATCTCCGTCGTGTTTCTTGCAGCATCCCCTCCCTGTTGGTTTCAGTGGGAGGGGAAGCCATCCAGCACCTCAGCACACTGCATGCTCTAGCATGGTTAGGGATGAAATAATAAATATCCCCCAAGAGAGATGGAAATGAAGAGCCAAAGGTCAGGAACGAAAGATGTCTTTTCACATGAGATATGAAAAACATATGAAGAATTACTGGCGTAGAGAGAAAGAGAATGGAAGGTTGGTTTAGGTGATTTATAGAATTTTCTTTTGAAGCCCACAAGACTCTAAGGAAATAAGGGCAATTGCTGTACTGGCTGCAGTATCTGTGTGTATGTCGAGTGTCTGACAGAAGTCAGCATCAGATGTTTTGCAGAAAGGTATAAAACACCAGAATAAGCACATTGGGGAAGGATTATTTTCATGCACTAGGTCTCATCCTCATCTCTAATATGTAGAGGTTTGTTTAAACCCTGAGGTATAAGGTCTAGTGTCTATTCGAAAAGGTTTCTCATCACTACAGGTATGTATTGCTCTTGGCGTTCTTGTTACCAATATACCTAAAAGTTCTCTTTCGACATACTGGTAGATACCTGGTCTCAACAGCATTTTGCATCAGTAATCTCTTAGTCTGATAATGCAGCTTTTGTGTAGATGGCTATTTCTGTTTATTGCTTTTGAATTTGACATGTTACACATTCAGTGACTGTCTCCTTTCTCTTGTTTTATATTTTTGACTTGGTGGCTTGCTGTCCTTAATTTACATTATTACAACTGCTACTAAAACTTAGATTATCTTCTGACTGACTGCCTTGTTTTTATGAAAACCTCCACTTGATCTTAGCCAGACTGTGTAGTGAATTTGGCATTTTAATCTATCTGACTTCTTGTTTAATTCTACCAGCCTCTTGTGTGATACCAGTCCTTCGCCAAGACAGCCTGCGTAAAATCTGAAATACAAAATGGGCCACAGGAAAGGTCAATTTTTGTGTTAATATGGCAGATCAGTGTGAAGCTCGCTTGACTCTGAAGAGCCTGGATTTAAAATAACCACGACAGTCTGGTGTAGGATTATTGACCAATTTCTTTCTGTTTCCAGCTGAGCTGCCAGGATCATCTGCAATCAAGCTCTCCTCCTTGCGGGATCTTCCGGCTCAGCTGCAAGAATTGTACCAGCAGGGCTTCATCTTGGCTGCTGTCCACCCTTTCGTGCAACCAACTGATGAAAAAGAGAAAACTCCCCAGGAACAAATCTTCAGGGCTGTGCTTATCAAGAAAACAGAAAGGTAAAGCTTCCACTGAACTGGGATAAAAATAGACAATATGA